GTCTAGCCCTGCTCGCTAGAAAGACCCCCCCCCTCGCTATGGGTCATGCCTACGCATAAACTTGCCGAGGCAGCGAGGGGAAGAAGGGGATTATATGAAAACAGGTGTTGGAAGTATGGTCATACTGGTTACAACATCTTCAACCGTGTCTGAAAACACGACTTCGTCAAACTCAGTTGAAGATGTGGTCCGTAGTAAAAGTACAAAAAGTCATGCTAAAAAAAAGGTAAAGATGTTTGATCTCATGCATGTGTGTGTTGTGTGTTTTCGTCCTATTTATCATGGCGACAATCCCCCCATTTTTGTGGTGAGACGTGTACTAAACATTTCAGCGTATGTAGAGTACTACACTTTTTGTGTATTTTTTCGTACAACTTCACCTTTCCAGGGTCACACAGGAGGGGTAAACACCAGGGCTTTGTTCTTAGTTTTATTTATTTTCATCCTCCACCTCCCTCCTGCGGTGCGTGCTGAACTTTATTTTTATCGCGAGAAGGGTGCACCGGTCCCCTTCCCTCGTCAATGGTACCTATGTCGAAGTTTGGTACTCACGAGAGCTTGTCAGCTATATTTCGCTTTCACCCGCACATTCTTTCATCCCATGGGGATTCGAACTCACAACCTCTGCGACTAGCGGATTACGGAGAAACCACTAGACCACCGGGGCGACCCTTCATGATTCTAACAGAGGAAATTTCCTCCGTTGAGATATATGCTAGGGTGGCCAAACCCTGATTGTGTTCACGCAGTTGAATAGCAACGATGGTATCAGCTACAAAACAGTTTGAAACTGATAGCTAAATATACCATGGTTGGGAAAAAAACTCGATGGCTACAAAACAGTTACAGTCGAGGGACCCTTTTAGTGCCGGTTGAATAGTGCCAGATGCCCGGTATAGTGCCGGTAAAGTCTCTGCACACAGGCGGAGCTCTCAATAGTGCCAGACCGGCACTAATTAAAGCATGCCCGATATAGTGCCGGTTCGGCACTGCTGTCACCCCCAATAGTGCCGGTACTCCGCACGCGCGAAACACACACACGCACAACCCAGGGCAGAAAACATAGACTCCACACACAGAAATAGGGTACACGTGCTGCTGCAGACCCGAACAGCTCTACACAGGGGCGTACCATGCCCTGTGCGGAAGGTGAACTGTGCCAACTACAGGACACCACGCCGCAAGACCCTCATGGTCACGGCTGCCAGGGAGGATGTGGCGGGCGACTGCACGGCATTTGCGGCAGTGTGGTTGATGTAGGCAACGAGAATCACCGCATCTGCAGCGCGTGCGTCGCCAAAGCCGGCAAGCGCAAAGTGTCAGCAGCAGACAGCACTGGGAAGGCACAATCTAAACGTCCGAAGGCCACGAATGGGGGGAGTAACAAGTCTCAGCCTCGTGCGCGGCCAGATTTCAGCGCCAAGTGTGAGATGCTGAAGCTGATGGATCAGAAGGTGACTCATGAGCAGCTAGCAGATCGCTTCAAGTGCTCGGAACGGTTGGTCCGGGATGTGAAGAAGAACAGGAAGAAGTACGAG